AAGTAACTTGAACATTTAAAAGTACCTGGAACATCTTTGAATATTTCTAATATCTCTCTGCAGCTTAAAAATCTTTGAATGGCTTGAACAACATCTGGTAGGTCGGAAATCTTTAATTATTTTGGAAATGCTCGAGTAGCTTAAAAATTTTTAACTAGCGCGAACATTTTTAAGTTTTTAAATTATATTGGAGTAACTAAAATATTTTCAAATAGGTCCAACAATTTTCAATAATTTAAACATCATTGAAAACTCAAAAACTTTTAAGCAGTTCAAACATCTATGAGTAGCTTGAACAGCTGGAGTATTTACAAGTAGCTAGAACATCCTCGAGTGGTTCGAATATCATCGAGTAGGTAGAACACTTTCTAATAGCTCAAATATCTAAAAATATCTGAGTATTTTCAAATCATTGAGTATCTCCAACATTTTCAAAAAGTAAAGCACCTTTGACTAGCTACAACATAGAGTAGCTAGAACATATATGAGTAGCTGAATCATATATTAATAGCTTAAATATATTTAAATGACTTGAACACGAACAGGTAGCTTCAACATTTATTAATACTACGAACATTTTCGAGTATCTAGCGATTTTTTGAGAAACTAGAATATCTAATAGCTTAAAAATACTTGAAAAGTACAATCCAAATGTTCGAATTCAGTTGTTTGAACATCGAAATGTTTGAATAATTGTATAATAATAATAAATAAAAACATTACTAATTATAAGTATTTTAAATTATAGATTTTATAGACAATGCAAATACTAAAAGAATCCAAACAGTAATAAATTGCAATAAATTTGTGTTTAGGCTCATTTTGTGAATTACCACCTAATATTGAAATAATTCCCTTAAAGAAATTATATATATACTCGTATTAGTAACATCCAATGTTAACGGTTTATGTCTGAATACATGTCTATTTTAGGCTTAGTCTACCGTAAAAATGTTCAAGCAAATAGTTTCGAACTCATAATTACACTATTTACATTCATGTTACAACTTTCGTAGTTTCGATTTTGATTTTAAATGTAAAAAAAAATCAAAATTCAGCATTCGTGCATAAATGAAATTCCTAAAAAGTTAATAAATAAAATTTGTAAAATTTAGCAACATTAAAACTAAAGACCATATCAATAAAATATTAACCACTGACCATAAGTGAAATTTAAAAATTATAACTTGCAAATTAAGTGAAAATAGCGAAGTATTGGGTGGAGATTTTTAATTGATATAAAATGTTTTCTATTACGAAAATTTAATTAAAAACTAAATTTCCAAGGTATAAAGTTTTTATATTTATGGGGAATTTTATGCTGAACTTGTTACGTATGGCAAATACATGACCTATGCTAAAGGGTGTGTGCCACTTACTCGTACCAGGAACTCGTAAACTGGCTGTCTGCAAAAAGGGCACACACCCATTATTAGCACCAAGTGATTGACATTAGGTTTTTCTTTTGTAGCATTTTATATATCATTAATGTCTGCGAGCTCATAATAGTTGGTAAAAACAAATCAAACCGTCATAGACATAACCTATTAAGTGTGAGGGGTCATCAAAGCGGAATTTTAGTTTTGAATACGTAAACAGAACATGTGAAAGTTTAAAAAAATGTTAGACAGTCACGCGACTAATTCTTCTGCTCAGAACTGAACGTGTCTGTAATTTAGAACGTGAATTTACATATCCACCAGAAATTGAAACAAACAAATGGACTTCAGTTCTAGTACAACATTTTGAATTTTTAATTAATATTAAATTTATGGTTGGAAAGGATTTCAAGTACAGAATATGTAAAATAGTACACCAATTAAGTTTATAAATTATTTCAGATTGTACTTGTATGATATTTATTGTTTTGTTATTTATTTGCATTTATAAACATAAAAAACTATTTTTCAACTCATACATATCTCAGGGACTTTTAACTCTGAATTTTAATGGGAATGGTTTACATTACGTGATCTAATTTAAATATTTTGAACGAAGAAATATGTACAGACCTCAACAGAAAATATTATTCTACCTTAAAATTCATCCATGCTTAGCATTTGTGCGAGTACTACAAAAGCTGTTATACTCTCCTCGTTTATACGATCTGGAAAAATAAAATGTGACCTCAAAACCACAATTTCAAATAACTTAGAATATATTTGATCATTTGTGGCGACATATTTTTTATTTTCATGTCCAAAGAACTCTTACACATTTCCATTTAATCATATATTAAATTAGTAACATTGTAGGTGATTATAAGCTATGTTATTTGATGGCAGCTCATAATACATCAAATACTATTAATAGGTTATGACTGAAAGTATACTTTTTATATACCATACACAGTCTGTAGGTAACAAAAGCTATTCATATTTTGTTAGTTCTTGTATTTACGACTTTTGTTTCTTAAATTGTGTAAAAATTGGATATATGAATACTGTTCTAGAAATGTGACACCTGATTTGTATACGTATGTACTTCACTTACATGCCTTACAACATCTTACATCTAGAACCGGATGGAATAATTACGCTTAGAAAAATTTACTGTAACCACATCTTTGTATAAGTTAAATTGACTTGATCAATTTTATTAGAAATATTTTAGCTCATGTGTGGTACAGAAGAAATAACAACCAACATAGGGTATGATTGAACCAACATGATCCTTCGAGCAAGATTATTTTTATTATTATTACAATATAGTGAATGGCATGGATATTATAAATTATACGTAAATCCATATATAAAACCATTAAGAATCTAGTGCCTTATGCATGCCCATGTGCCAGGTAAATCATCCTTCCTACCTTTACTTCACCCTACAGAGAAAAAACAAGTTTCGTCATTTATCGCAATAAAAACTTTCGAGACTGCAAACTTTTGAAATACAAAAACTTAAAAGTTTGTAGACAAAATTAAAGTAAATTATTTTCAAATAATTTATTTCTAAATAACAAATAACTGACTAATGTAAAAATTATTATTTATTGACTCACAGTAACTAAGCAAAATAGATTATTTCAGTTTGTTTAGAAAAGTATTTTAATTTATTTAATCACGTAAAAGTAATGGATAAATTGCATTTAATTTTGATTATTACTAATGATTGAATCACGATATGTTGAATTGTCAATAATTATTTAAGTTACATCATTTTTTATTATTAATTATTAATCAATGCAAAAAATTTCCGTAAAGTTATAATATCAAAAATTTAAAAACGATTGAAATAAAAATAAAGCAAAAACTGTAAACCCTAGAATAATTTAGTAAAGATTTCCCATAAATTACATACCATATAAATTATTGTCAAATGAATACTATTTATATATAATACTATTAAAAGAAAAAACTCATTGTCATATACACAAACACACACATATATACACATAACTAAAACTTTATCCCCTAGCACATCTCAGAAACCAAAAAAAGTTATGATATAGATAATGTAACTAAGTGTTCATTTAGTAGACATAATTTGGCTATATATGAGTAGATAAAGATATGTCCCGTTTACGCCAACTAAGTTACTGGTTACAGAATTGTCACCTAATGAAATCCATTTGTTATAACCTCGTCATATGATTAAAAATCAAGTCATGCTTGCAGGGTCATAAGCCACTAAATGACTAGTAACCGAGATGCCACCTGAGGAAATATATTTTTCATAGCCAATTCACACTGTTAAACATAAAGTCATGCTTGCAGAGTCATATGCATATGATGGAAAACAGTACATTCTAAAGATAACCCATTTATTATAACATATTCGCACGTTTAAATTCAACTGATATTTACAGATTAAAATAGGCAATCAGTTTTACGTGGTATGATAGGCAAATATGTAATATTTATATGACATAATTAAAAAGTGATATAGAAAAAAGTGACATCTAAAATTTTAATAGTGTTAGCTAGTCATGATAAATACAAAAAAAAAACAAATCGTTTTCTTACACCAATTTTTGGTTAGCAGGCTTAGAAATATGGATAACAACAACAATTCAAGATAGATTAATAGTTGATGCAGATTAACTCGTTTAGTGTGAACAGACTATAGAAGAATACGAATACATTTGTAGCGAAATATAGCAAATTATTGTGAATTTGTTAATCTATTGCTTTACATATACTAATTTGCAGACTTATCTCCATCTCCATCGAAGAAAAAAATGCTTCCGTTCTGTTGTTTATAGACCATCTAAGAAAAATAGGTCTTCTTTAACTATATATCTTTAAGCAGATATATATCAGATTTTTGCAATAGTCGATATTTTTAACTATATAAAAAATGCATAGCAATAAAACAAATATTTCTTTATACATCTAGAAAAACAGCAATTGTGCAAAATATAACATTTTCCATGTAGGATTTTATATAATGAGAGAGAAGATCTTATAGATTGTAATAAATAGAGATACGTATGAAGAAAGAGGGTAGAGTAGAGTAGAAAATAATACTGTATTTCCTTATTAAATATTAGGAAAATGATCGACTAGAAATATTTCATTATTTACTCCATTCGTTATAGGGGGATAAATTGTAGACTTAATTAATACAAATGAATCCCTTAATAAAGGGATCAATTTGTAACTTTGATATATATATATACAGTAAAAATTCTATTTTTAAATATTCCTATTGAACGAATATTCCTCTTTGAAGAGTAATTTTTTTATAACCTTATTTTTATTATTATTTAGCATAGCTTAACCCTTTTTTTGCCGGACAACTCTGTTGAACGAACAAAAATTAGCTGCTTGACAATAAATGTCAGCTTAATAGAGTGTTCACTGTATCTCCACAGTATTTAGCCTGTTGATTTTGTTTGTAGTTTTTATGAAATAGTTTTTTCTCTTTCTCTTATTATACAACGTATCTTGTAAAAAGTGTATTTGGAGCACTATAAACTTTAATTGTTTACAAAAGATATTGTTAATTTGTTAGAAGCTGCCATCATAAAACTTAACTTCGATACCACCGCTTACCTCCTTTGGAATATTTCTTTCAATCCATTGAAAAGATTTGTTTCGGCATATCAACATTGTTACGCGATTGCAGACTGTAGTGAGCAGAGCAATGAATTGGTGCGCCACTGCGCCGAAATTTTTAAAAGTTATATTGGGCATTGTTAAAATTAAAAAAAAAATGTAAATGAGTTTGACAAATAGGACACATCACTTTAATTTCACATAAAACACTTAGTTTTCCTTAAAACCCACTATTTTTTATATAAAATAATCATTTTTTTGACATCAGAGTAATAATTTATTTTGTACTAATTTTTTTATTGATTTTCTTTATTTTTGTTTTTGTTTTCGCACTTCACTAAGTAAACCTGCTCATGCCATAAAATTTGAATCCGCCGTTACTTCTTCAACGTTTAACGATTGCGACTGGCAGGGCTAGCACGAGTACGAATTGTCAAAGCTTGTTATGAAAAAAATAACAAATAACAACAACAGCAACAAAAGCATCAATATGTGTAGCATAATGCATTGTTATTGCCATTGTTTTTGTTGCCATAGTTGTTTTGAATTTGTTGTTGTCACTTTTGTTGTTATACGTTTGTTAAGAAATGTGAAATAGAGTAAATAAAAAAGAAACACAATATTGATAAACAAAAGAGGCTCAAAAGAGTAACTTAATTTTTACGGAAAAGTTAAGCCGAAACCAAAAGCACTCAAGCACAAATCGGCAACGAATTCTAAAATTTGCAGTCAAAGCACATGATAACGTCGCGGTCGCAAGCTTATTGTGTGCACCTCCTTAACTTAATTGTTAAGTGTTTCGCGTTTTACTAACTGAAGTGCGCTGCTCGAAGACAATAAACAGACTGCATGCTGCAGCACTTTCAACTGGCAATGAGCAAAGCAACAATTGTCAACGTTACAACGCAAACAATTGAGTAGCGTCGACTTCTACCTTCGTCTTAATAGTAACCGAATACAACAATCAAAAGCAGCACTGCTTGTGCTCGTATTTGCTGCGCAAGGTGTGAGAATGTACGTATACGTGCGGGGGAAAACAATGCACGTGAAGCCCTACATTTTGTTTATTTATTTATTTATAAATTTTTTGCTATTGTCGTTGCTGTCGTTACTAATATTTATTACTATAATAGTTTGTTGTTGTTGTTTTGTAGTAGTTGGGTATCTCTGGGCATTGTTTCAAATGAGAATTGTGACACATTCATTACAAATGCTTAACAACAACAACAACACAACTAATAGCAACAGTTAGAATACAAGTAAATAGAAAATAAAAAAATATTAGAAACATAAAAAAATATGAATGATTGTAAACAAAAATTCATTAAAACAAACTTAGAGTTTTGCAACATTCAAAAAGGGCTAATGTATAATGAATTATCGTAATTATGTATGTTCATATGTATAAAGTAGTGGTTTACGCGGTGAAATAAGAATTACCTTTTATTAAAGTATAAACCATGTTTAAATATTCTTGAGAAAATAAATAAAAACACATAATGATTTTACAAAAAATAATATCTTACAAACAATTGTATTCTATTATGATTAGAATAAAATTATCATTATAATAAATTACCACCAACATTTCTACCACATTTTTTAAATGAAATAATTTTACTACTGAAATAATTCCAATGTTCGAAAAAAGCTGTTGATAGGCAGTTGCTAGTAAGAAATTTGTGCCAGTTTGTGCCATATACTTTTGGTCTAGTGCTATGAGAGTAATGTCACAATAATAAAGAAATGCAAGTGTATTAGAACGAAAAATTATATTCGAAGGAATTGTTTATATTATAAAAAATATGTTTTTTTTAAATATGTTTTAAATGTAAGTAATAAACATAAAACATGTGATATATAATGTCAAATATGCAGTAACTAAGAGATTATGAAACTGCCTCTCTAAAAACTTTTTGTTGAGTATTATTATTACTATTATTTTTATTTTATTATTATTATTATTATTATTATTATTATTATTATTAAGATAAGGGTAAACGCACTGCCCTTATCCCTTAGTCGGATTAAAGTGTTTCTCCAAGTCCAATTCCTTTAATGAAACACTGTATAGAGTTTATCTTTCCTAGCATTAATTTCTTATGTTCCACGAAATACCCTTCTGGGTGTTTGTTTTGCTTGTGCATCAGTGCCGGGCATTCTCCTAGCACACGACATGTTTTCTTCGCACTCTACAGTATCTGCTATTCGATTCCTAAGTTTATTAAGAGATTCTTCGATCTACAATGACCAATTAGTATTCCTGTATTAATTCTTAATTTATTCTTTGTTAATTTAATGCAAACCTTAAAGCGTTTTAGGTTGTAATTTCCTGAAAGCACTTTAGACTGTGATAGTCTTGGTAGACATTCCCAATATTGTTCTTTTTCCTTATCTTCTGCGCCATTCATAGTTCCTTTGAGTTTTAAGTAGAATAGTTTATAGCATCATAAACATCTGTGTATATATAGACTTATTATAGATCATATACGCGTATTTAGTTTGTTTATGCAGCATTTTCAAACAATTTTTGTAAATCTACATAAACTTTTATAAACACGAAAAATCAGATATATTAGATTTGCCTCCATTGAATATTTGTTGTTTCCAAAGTTGAAAGTTTGGCTAAGAGGACAAAAAGCTTTTAACACAAGACACTATTTAAAGCAATAATAAAAAATTGAAGCATTATAGGGGGAATTACATTAATTGACAGTGATAGATTTCTTTTTAATATTCCACGTTAAACCTCCTCGTTTTGCTTCAAAAAACTATTTAATTCTTTTAACGGAATTCCTTCTTAGCGGAAGAAGTTCTTTTAGGTTAGAGTAAGGTAGCAGTTTGTTCAGTTGTCCAACTCAGTTAGACCCTATGATTTCTTTGTGATACCACTGCTCAATATACGACCTGAACCGTATTACTTATGGAACCATTTTGGAAATCATATAAAGCATAAAATGGTTTTAATCTTAGCACTAGACAATTCTAAAAGCGAGCTAAAAGCAAGTTTTTCTAAGAAATTGGTCCTGCATCTAGCTAAAGCTGGGGAACAGCAAAACATTGTATTATTGTTTCTTTTTCCGCTTTATCTTTACAACTTCATTTTTGCTATCAAGTATCTGCCAAATTAAATAAGATATTACACAGATATCTTTATTTGTTCATGCCCTATTCGTTACTTGATCAACTTCTGCTTCTGTCAACTTCTTTTGCTGAAAGTGTGCTTCATTTAAAGTAATCCAGAACCCTATTTTTCATTTAGAGTAAAGTAAACAAACAAATTAATATACCATTTTTCCGGTATGTTCAGACACACCTTATTATGTAATAAATATATTTCTTACAATATACACTTTTTCAACAATTGTATTTAAACTTGAACTTCAACTTTGTGATACTAAAATGAAAAGCGGAAATGTTCGTCGTGGTTCATTACTTCAGCCAAAATTTCAAAAGTAAATATATATAGATGATATACTATATGTACGTATATTTTTATATGCATTGGAGACATTATAGCCATTGGTTGAGTGATTTAAAGTACATATAGATATACCATATACTGTATCAAATGCGTCATTCACAATTATATTGCGATGAACCTCAAAATGTTAATATCTTATAGAGATGACGTAATTTAAACAAACAGTTAATCATTATTAACAGTTAGTAATTAAGGTATTAATTACAATATTTAAATTAAACAATTTAAACAATTAAACTTTTCATTAAGCTGTGTAATATTACTATTAAAATTTTTTAAATTTAAAATATTCATTAGCTTTTACTGAGTTATTGCGATTGATTATAAAAGTATTTAAAATAATCAATTATTGTAAAATTTTTTTAAATATTTTTTTCAAAATACATTTTATTAAATTTTTTTGTAAATATTAATATGGTATATAAATTTAGTATTTAAGCCAAAATAATACAAAGACCTAAATAAGCGTTATGCTTATCCTTATACCTTTATCTCATATATGTTTATCTCATATATTAAAATTTATAAAATTAAGTGTTTTATTAAGTAAATAGCTACGTATGAGGAAAATAGGTTCCACATAGATCACAAGTGCCCGCATGACTTCCACAACTTTTTTCTTTCAGAATTTCATAAAGCTTTCAGTATCTATCTATGATTCTTATTCAATGTCAAAAAATAATAGGTTTTCAAGAAATCTAAACCCACTTCTTACTAAGGCCGGACATATATAGAATAATTGAAAGCTTAATACTTTTAGATTTTTCCATTCCATTGTTTATAATTTCTAAATTAATGTATTTTGTTTTTTTTTGTTCATATTAATCAGTTGATTTTGCTTAATTTGCAGATTTTGAAGTTAAACTAGCAGTACTGTGGCAAGGCTGCTGCATGCAATATTATCGAAAAAAAACAGAAATATTTAAAATATAATCTAATAACATTATACTATATTTTATATAGAAAGTGGTCTTGGAATTATTTTTTATATGTAATTATTCATAAGCAATGTTTTGAGACTACATGTACTAAAGGTTGCATTAGTACTATGTCAAATTTAAAGCTTAGAGTCAGTGTTCATTGGCCAACTAACCCAAAGTCGTACTTGACTTATTTGTTTAAATGATTTTTTTCCAAATTAATTAACAACTGGTTTTATATTTAATTTTTCGTTTAAGTGCAGCCAGAAGATATGTCAACCAATAAAGAATTTAGAGAAATAATTTGATTAAATTTGCCACCGAATTTGAATAAAGACAAACATTTCTAAGGGGCAAATTTTAATGCAGATCTTTCGAATTCTAACCGATTTGGACTGAAATAAAGTTTCTGTTAGCAACACTCCATTTAAGCAGACGATAGTCGATAGTTGTATCTGTTGAAAACATTTCGTTGATGTGATACAAGAAGTTAACAAATTTATTTATGTCAATATTATTTATAAATCATATTTTAGAACTAGTATATTCTGGTTCAATAAAACAAAACAAAAAACAATTGGGAAATTCTTAAAGTAACCAAAACTATTTCTAATATTACCAACAGAGAGCTCACCATTTTAATGTTCACTCTTCATCGGAAAGATTACAGAACAATGATGGGTTTACTAAAGTATCACAAAGGAGGAATGGCGGAGTACCGCAACTATTGAAATACAACTGGGGTCACTGGAGCAATTAGAAAAAAAGACCCCTTACTAGCAGATGAATTTTTCCAAAATACTGAGAACAACCATCTCTCTAATTAGTATCGCAAATTACACAGAACTTTATGTGTGTAGACTAATGTTCACAATAATAAAATATATCGAAGAACTCAACAAGCCCCTTGATTGTTTATGTGCTAATATTTAGTTTCCATCTTGATGAAATAATTATAGGACGGAACTATACGACTTCAAACTTTCATAAATAAATGCCTAAGGAGGATTTTGAAAATCTGGTGACCCCACAAGATTTGAAACTCTGAACTCTGGTCTACATCTCGCCAACTTCCTATCGCAAGTGAAATCAAAAAGCGTAAACGGCAACGGATCGGGAAAGCCACCAAACGAAATATGCAAACAAGCGTTAACGTGGAATCCT